AGGGGGGTTGGACTAGATGACCTTTAGAGGTCCCTTCCAACCCAAATGATTCTATGATTCTATGATTTACAGCAGCAGTATAGTGGGAGGTTATTCTGTGAGATTTTCTTTACTTCAAAAAGCTTGCAGTTAGGATGAAACACAACAAGACAGATACAGTGTACAGACAATGTGGGAAGGGGAAAAGATAAAGGATAACTGTGTGGTCATATTTCCAAAATTGTGAGTCTTTAGTATTTGGCAGTTTTGAAATACATAAACAAGAAAGGGTTAATTTTGGTCATTTCTTCTTGCTATCAGCCTAGTAATTTAAAAGACATTTATTTATTAAAAGTGCATATGTATGTTACTGCTGTTCATAACAAACAGAGAAATTTATAGAAGATAGGTATCAGATTTTTATTTAAATAGAAGACCTGTCAAAATACGGCATACAGTGTCAGCAACTCTCTTCTGAGTGTTAGGTTGTATCATTGCTCTTCATGTCAAATTGTCATAACATGCCTGTCATTGCCTGTCATTAACCTTAAAACCAAGCCTGAGAATTATCCAAGGAACAAAGTTTAAACAGAATCCTTATATTTAGCAATACTATCCAATAGCAATTATTCTCTCTTGGTGTTGATGAAATTGTCTGGGTATGAAGAGTCCTCCAGTGATTCATAATAGCTGGATTTCTTTCCAGTTACCAAACCCTTTGGCAGTAGCTTATTGTCACAGCCAGGTCTCTGATAATTTACTGATACTAAATTCGCTAGAAAGTATGGGTTTTTTTCTGTGATTTACAGCTGTACTATATTATACTATAGTTGAGAAGCTACTTTTTCTTCCATCTTGCATAATCTTTACAAGGAATCCTTGCAGTAACTGTAGAAGTTGGAGGATGGCACTTTAAATCACAATAAAATGTTTCATATACAACATTCACCGTGAAATGTAGGTCACTGAAGCAGGCTCCCCAGGGAAGTGGTCATAGCACCAAGCCTATCAGAGTTCAAGGAGTGTCTGGACAACGCTCTTAAGTCATACGGAGTTTTAGGTAGTCCTGCGAGGAGCAGGGAGTTTGACTCAATGATCCTTATGGGTCCCTTCCAACTCGAGATATTCTATGATTCTATGATTGATTTCTATTGGCTTACACCACATGTCTGAAACCTGTATCTACACCCTTCTTTACTTCTTTCTTCTATCCTGTAATTTCTCTGTTCAAGATGTATGTTTTTTGGGGCAGGGACCATTCACTATTCTATTTATAGGAGGACAACCTATTGTTGACATTCTGTGGATATAGTGGATTTATATGTGAATAAATTTTATACGCCTCTACAATAAACCACTTCTGATGCTTTCTTTTGATTTTCTTTCTCTGGGAGTAAAGCATAAACAGGCAAGTTTTATAGCCACCATTTCCTTCCCTGTTTAATCTGTAGTCCTGTACTCTTATCCTTGCTCTTGTTAAGTATTTTTCTTTTCCAATAAAGCACAGAACTAGTGCTACATTCTCTTGCTTTTTCAATGTCTCTTTCCTGTGCTTCCAGAAAACTGACAAACTTTCACACTGAAAATCCCTTTCCCCCCATCCAGAACTGCCCTTTTTCATTTCCTGCACCTCATAGGCAGCCCCTTATTCTCTATACCACTTTGTACCTCTTATTATTTCAATGGTCTATCAGGGATGGAAAGGTTTGGGGGTGTTTAGTATTTCTGAGGTCCCGGCCATGCATGCTAAGAGGTGAATTTGGACAGTTCATCTTGATAAGTCAAATAATGTAGGCAGTTTCTGTAAATGATGTGGTGTTAAGTTATTAAATTATTATTAAATATAGTTTTATGTTAATGATGATACTGGTAGCAGAATATCACAAAGGACTTTTCTGCTGACAAGACCGAGTGCCATCTCGACCTGTTATGATTCTGTGATATTATCAACACTGCTACGTCAGTCTTCGAATATGCATGCGCTAAGAAAACTGTATTTTCTACCTTGCTGCAATACTGCTTCTGTAATCTTCAGTGCTCTTTGTCTACAGCATTTTTCCCAACGTTGTGATAACTGCAAGGCTGTGTCATGTTTTGTGTCTATTTCTGCATTCCAACTCACCTGTCTGATTTCTCCTTTAAGGTAAATAATTACAGTTTAGAAGAAGTTACCCATGAAGAGGCAGTAGCGATACTGAAGAACACATCAGATGTAGTGTACCTGAAAGTTGGAAAGCCCACCACCATTTACATGACCGATCCATATGGCCCACCAGATATTACTCACTGTAAGTGACTTCTGCAACTTATTTTGTAGGAGATATCAGTTTGTCAGATGATTGCGTTTTTGTCATAGCTTGTCCAAAGTACCCCATTAAAGTTTACGAAACAGCTTGGAAGGCTACAAAAGTGAAATGTTTATTGCCACTTAAGTATGCTACACTCATGAAATATTACAAATAATTTAACTCTGCTAAAGTATTTTTGCAGCAAGAGTAACAACGTAGCTGATGTACTGCTGTGCTGATTCCAATTAACCATTGTCCAGATGATCAGACTAAACTGTAACCCTTGTGACAATTATAGCAATAAGTATACACAAATATATTTTGAAATTATTAGATTTGTATACTGGAGTCCTCTGTCCACTGAAAAATCGGAACAAGCAGCAAACCATCTTCTACAAACTTAGTGAAAAGCCTGAGGCAAATATATATCATATTTGAATAAAATATTTACTTGGAATGTAAAAATCACTGCTCTACTTAGAAATATTCACCTATTTTCTGTGTATATCCCCTTCCTAAATTATTGTTCCACTTTGCTTTATTCTCAGTCTGTCCATTAACTTTATAGATGTTAATCTGCTATTTTTTCACTGAGGACCGAGGCCTTTCTTGTCCTTGCTTTCAATGTACATGCTGTTGTAGGAAAAGTTGTTGAAACAATATAGTAAAGCTCAGTGAAGGATCTCATGGGAAGGGAAGATGATTTTATTTTAAAACAAACTGATTTCAATCAGGCTGTCATATCCACATGCTCAAAAACTTCTAGGCTCATATCCAGCATTCAGGTAGAAAGACGTGCATCCAGGTGCATTGCCAGGATTCCCTGAGATGACCAAGTACAAGGGTGGGTGGCTGTGGAGTCCTTATCATACACATATACCTTCTTCTTATGTTGACAACCTCCTTGCTGATGTGCTTTTTGTACAGTTAAGGAGATGACAGCAATTAGGATCTTCTGTCTCTCCCATCTGTCTCACCTACCCCTGTCAACAGGATTTACTCACTTCTCTTTTGTCTCCTTATCTGAGTGTCCTAGGCTCCAGTCTAGTCTTTGTCTCCTGCCATCATCTCTTAATGGCTTGAGTCTTTGTTTTAGTTTGAGTGTAGGCTCTCCTGATAAGTTACATGTAGTTCTCTTGAGTATTGATGACCTATTGATGAATCTAGGTGCTACCAATACATGCCATTCTTATACCCCTCCTGCCAGTCCTCCTGGTGTCCATACCCAGGCATTCCCACTCCCTTTTCATTCACAGCAATCTTAACATTTCAGTTGCAGCTCTCTATACCACTGGTGCCCGTTAGTCTAAACTGTTAATTACCGAAACTCTCTTTCTTCATTAGTTGTTCATGAAAAACTGTCTGCCTTGGGTTCAGCTACCAACAGGGACCAGCTGCACCATCTAACAACTGGATGGCAGTTTAATTTTTGACAAGAGCTTCAGCAACTGATCCATACACAACTTGATCTCCTGCCAATAATCCTAGGGGCACTTGAGGCCAACCAAGGGCTGGGAAAGGCAGATTGTTCCAGTAAATGCTAGAGATTTAAATTTTTCTGCACTTTTGCACAGTGCTGCTACTGTGGACTGACAAAGTTGAGGGAAAAGCTAAATATCGATAATCCTTCTTATTCAGACTGCTCCATAAAAATAGAAGGGAAGGTTTTGTAACATGCACATCAGGTGCTATACTCAGCTGTGCTGAGGATACCTATTTAGTTAGCAAATGTTACAACAGATGGCAATCATGTTCAGTAGCAGTCTGATCTGGATCTTAGCAAAGCCCAAGAAGTAAAAATGCTAAATGTCCCTATCCAGTCTCCTGCTTTATAATACTTTCAAAAATAATAATTTGAGAGTTCTAAAACAGTGTGTTTTATTACGTCAGATTACAGATCAGCAGCATGTGAGAAGACAGAAGTAATTCCAGAGGGAGAGTAAGGGTTGAAAAGATTTGCAGTAGCCCATCCCAGGCTGTTGGTGCATACAGATTCATTTATCCTCGGGGAACCTTTCATTATACCTACACGTTCAGAGTATTTGAGGACGGGTAATGGCCTTTCCCTGTAGAGATATTTTGCTCTGAAACATTCTGTATCTCAGTATCTGAAAGAAAGACTGAAACTAATACTAGAAAGTTTAGCTGTCGTCTTCTCATGAGAAAATTAATCATAGCTCATTGCAGAAGCACGTACCATTGTTTTTCCTATTTATCATTTCCTTTTCTAATTACATTAACTAGAGATTGAATACAACTATTATTACATCTCTCCAGTCATAAATGTCCCCAGTAACTTCAGAATAGCAAAAAGCAAGCAAACAACAAAACCTGCAGACCCAATATAGAATCAGACAGCATAGTCCTGTAATTTTCATTATTAATCATTAATATGTAAGAGATTTGTATCCACTTCTTTTTTAAATATACACTTTTACTGTGATCTAAATACCATCTGTGTTGGTACGGAAATTTCAATTATATTGAGAATTTTGGCACCTTTAGTAGATCGCAGCTTTAAATCTTCACCATACATAATTCTTGCCATACATAAAATTCCTGCTCTTATCCTGCATTGAGCTCTTGCTATATTACTCCCATTGCTGTGTATTGGAGCCAAAAAGAGGCCTGTGCTTTTAATCTCATTCTCTGCTATTTACACTTCCTTCTTCAAGTCAGTCCTAATTGAAGAAAATGTTTCCTGTCTCCCAAACTATCCTTTCTTATTCAGATCCCCTCTAAAGAGTCAATCCCTGCCAATGAGGCATTATTATTATTATTATTGTTATTATTATTATTATTAAGCTTTCAGGAAAACTCCAGCTGTTCATTCTTTCTAGTTACATTTTAAGCTCTCTCAGGCAAGGATTGTCTGTTTTGATGTTATTTACAGCAATGAGCAGGTTCTTGGTACTTAACTAAAAAATGGTGCTCTTATGACATCTAATCAAACGTGAAAGTGGCTAACTAGAAATGCTTATTCTTACCATCAGCTTATTCTCCACCAATGGAAAATCATATACTCTCTTCTGGAAACAATGGCACTTTAGAGTACAAGGCATCCCTGGCCCCTATCTCACCGGGAAGATACTCACCCATTCCAAAGCACATGCTTGTGGAGGACGACTACACCAGGTCAGACGCTTCTCTTTATTTGTTACCTTTCATGACAATTGCAAAGGACATAGGTAAAGCATTCAGTGCACCTCAAGTAGAATACGGCACATAGTTCTTTTCACCCCTGTTCAAGGGAAGATGAATCGAAACTGTTACAGGTATGAAGATAACTAAGAGAAAGATCACACGAATGAATGCTGACCTGAGGTCCATGTTGTCCGGGTGCAATCCTGCACTAGTTCCTAAACAACATGGCTGCACTAGAACAATGCTGGCACTCAGCAAAATTTTCTGCTTCTTAACACAACTAGGAGATCTCAGGATCAGTGACTCATCTGGCTCGCTGCATGTACAGGTGGAGGGACTGTATGTGCATTTGTACCTGTCCGTGACAGTACGGTCTGAAAGGTCCAGCTTGTTTAGTTTAGTTAAAGCGAGGCTGAAATAGCCGCTAATTGCTCTGTGTACACACATAGAAAGATAAATGTTATTCAGAGAAAACACCATGGGAAAAGAAAAAAGATGTATAAACTGGCTGCAAATAAATATAGGAGGGAAACTGGAAAACGTTTCTTAACCATTAGAGCAATTATGGTATGAAACGGTTTTCTGTGAGAACATAGCGGTTAAAAGGAAACTTTATGCAGTGGCACCTGATACCTTTATAAAAGGGGTTTTTGGATGTGATTATCAGCAAAACATCCCTGGAAATTGCTTCTAATCCTTTTTTTTTTTAATAATCCCAAAAGAATTGTGACTATTATATGGAAGTATGGTAGCAGAATTGTATCTATGTAGTTGATTTCCAGGTAGAAAAGACACATAGGAAAATGCTGGGAGGGTTCTTCTATGCCTTGTGTTAGATCAACACTGAATGTCACTGATGAGACAGTGTGTATTTATGTTTTTGTTTGAAGAGCACTATCATTCACTTAGAAGACAACAGTTGTTACATTTGTAAAATAAGCCCTCATTATAATGTCTAGTGCCACAGAAAATGAGAAATTAATTTTTTTTCTGTGCTTCAGTATTTATAAATTCATTGTGTTTAAAGCTAGGAGGGGGCTGTTCTGATCATCTAACCTGACCTATTGTGTATCTCAAGCCAAAGAATCTCATCCACTTATGTATTCATCAGCTTCATAACTTGGTAATTTGCATTTCATTTTTCTTGTTGCACATGAGTACGATCTCAAGCTGCTCAACTTGTTGGATCAGACGGATTCAGAGTAACTAAATCATGATACAGTGTTTAAAAAGGACATAAATATATGGAAACCACATCTTGCTTCCCTGTCTTGGCTAAAAGAATTTCTCCTTTGTCTTGATTGAGGATGGAAACCTGACATTGCTTTCCTTCAACTTATGAGACATTCAGTTAGGAGGAATATTCTTCAAAGAGTTACAAGAAGTTACATTTTAAAATTAATAGTTAAAACACTGATTTCATTAAATTGTGTGTCAAGGCTTTATCTGGGCTAGTACTGACCTCATAATTTCTAAAATGCTTATGTATAGGAAGAATACCGATATAGTATCTGGGTTACAATGATGAAGGCTTTGTCAATAAGCTTGTAGTGCTGAATTCTCTCCTTCTGTAATGAGATGTCAGCACTATTATTACTGAGAAAGCATTGGCAAAGTTTAAAAACAGCAAAAAAAATGCAACCTTAAAAGTAGATAATAGCTAAGGAGACCAAGAAGTCACAGAAAGTGAAGGAAGTAATCCTCAAGAAGGACAAAAGCTGCCTTGAGAATTAAAATACCATTTAAACAGTTAGACCTGTAAGGTAATGAAGAAGTATCTTTAGACAGTCCTGTGTTTTTTTGTGTTCCATGTAGCTGATTTTAACTTTCTAATTTCTTCTAAAAAAAAAAAAAAGAAAAAAGAAAAAAGAAAAAAAAAGAAAAAATAGTCATAGAAGAGAAGGCAATGACAGTCCTAGCCCATTTGTTCAGTAGATATCCAGTAGAAAGCATACTTGCTCAAAGAACCATGCAGGATATATATTGAAATTAATTAGTATGTCTTTTTGATCTTTTTAGGAAGAAAGATGTATTCCTATCCTGATATTTTTAGTTTGTTTTTAAACAAGTTAATTTTTCTGGTTTAGCTCCTGACAGTAATACCAAACACTGACACAGTCTGGTTCTTGCCTGAGGTATTCAGACCAATGTCCATTTTGTATTATTTTGGGAAAAAAATGAATGCCCAGAGAAGCCACGTCTATTCTGTTAAATACTCCTCTCCTGTGTTCTTCTTCCTATCTGGATTTCCAGATTAGTGTGCTGTCAAATGAAGGGCTGATATCCAAAGTCTTCTGTGGCATTGGCACTGTTGACAGGAGAGGTTGACTCTACAAGCATGACCTTCTGTGGAAGGTGTGTGGCGCTGGCAGAAATAAAGGTGTCGAGTAATAGGAGCAGACTCTGAATGCAACAGAGCAAATCAGATGAAAATCTCGTAGTTTTAAACACGTATTGACTTCGACCTATTGAAAAGGAGGAGACTATTATGGAGTTAATTACATTAGTGATAATAGCTTATATGCTACACTGATACCCAGGATACAAAAGCACAAAGATAAAATTAATGTAGTCATAAGAAAAATGGCACTTCTTGTCATTGCATTTCCTCACTGGACATACATCATACAGCACTACCTGGGAGACACCCAAACAAGAGCCAGAGACCAGGTTTCTCCTCTGATTACAATGACTAAGAAGCTCTGACCTTCAAAACCGAACCATTTAACCCTTGAACGATGCTGAGCCTTTTTTTTTTTAATGTCCATGTAGCTAATTATTGCCTATTGATTCGAGTGGGACTATTGAAAATGCCACAGTTAATTCTCACAGTGAATTTCACAGCTATAAACTGAGAATAGTGAATGCACTCTTTCTGTGCAATGCCATAGGAGTCTTCCGTTAAAATAAGAAGATATTTGGAAAGTCTTTGTTGCTGACCAGTTTAGAAAGACTTAAAATCTTTTGGGAAGTTAATTATCATATTGATAATTTTAGTGAAACCTATAGATCCCTTGATTGCAGCATTTATAATTAGGTTTCCTCACATAATTTTTTATAATTAAGATGATTGCCAGCTACTGCAGTGCTATCCATTAAAACTGCCTGGTTCTTGCTATAATAGGTTTTCAGGGCTAATTTATATGGTGATCACATAAGGAAATTTATTACCCGTGCAGTCATAATATGGCAACACCTCTGGCAGATTTTCATTTGTGCCAGCTAAAAATACTTGGAACAGCAACTTCTCCACTATGAGAGGCTTTTGCAATTTTGTAATTCTTTGTACACTTCGTTTGAGTGAGGCTGATAAACTTTCTTTTAACTTACTATCAGTAAAGCTTAAATGGTTGAACATTCAACTCAATTTGTCCACTTCGTCTTGTTTTTCTTTTTTGTTTTTCTTTTTTTGTTCCAGTTCTAAGGTTTTTTACCTAAATACCTGTATTTGGCCTAACAAAAATAAGCATTTCTGTTGATAAAAACTTGTATTTTTTTGTCTGATATTGAATCTGTGTCTGAAAAAAAATCAATACAACTTTTACTAAATAAAACTATTAAAATAGGGGAAAAATAACTTAATCTGAGCACAAGGGATAAAAAAGTAACAAGTCATCTTCAGCCACAATTTTTAATGAAGCTGGATGTTGTCTTTCAATTTCTGACCTTTTTAAGTTGTGTATATTGTTGGTCCAAAATGCTGTCAGTGATGGGCATAATTTACTTTTTGTTTTGATGGATTAATTTTAAATTCACGCAGGATGGAAGCTTTTCCTGCCTGTATTTTTTGTAAAGATTGTCACCTTTTAAAATTTAAATAAAATAACACAACTTCAGGGTAGTAGAATGTGGGATAAAAAGTGGATAAAAGCTATATGCCAAGTAACTCTATCAATACAATCATCATCGTTCTGCCAGTCCTTATTTGTTTCAGTTTCTAGGAAGAGTAAAGTGTTGTGCAGGCAATGCAGGAGATTCCTTGATTGCATTGCTGACAATTTCCTAATGGTGCTAGAAGGGAGAAACAGGAATAATTCTCTGCTCGACCTGCTGCTTACAAAAAGGGAAGAACTAGTGGCAAAGGTGGTGACAAGTAACAGCTGGGATCAGAGTGACCATGAGTTGGTCCAGTTCATGATTCAAAGGAAGTCTGGAAAGACAGTCAGCAAGTTATGACTGTAGACTTCAGAAGAGCAGACTTCAGCTTTTTTGGAGAATTGCTAAGGAAAATCTCTTGGGGTGCTGCCACAGAGACATAGGGTCCATGAAAGATGGATGATTTCTAAGTAAAACTTATTGAGAACTCAGGAATGAACCATCCTGTTGAGCAGAAAGGAGGGGGATTCAGCAGAAGGCCTTCTTGGCTGAGCAAAGAGCTTTCTGATGACCTAAAATGCAAGATGTAGGCAAGCATTGCTCGACTGCTTCATGACAAAATCAGAAAGCTGATTGATTTGAGCTAAGACTTACAAGGGTCATAAAGGAAAGCAAAAAGTGATTCTGCAGGTGTGCTACTTTCAGAAATGAAGGTAAAATTTGATGAAGGGAAAAACTGATGAATGGAGGGGAAGACAATGTAATGACAGACAATACAGAAAAAGCTGAAGTACTCAACATCGTCTTTGCCAGGCATTTAAGGGACCAGAAGGTAACTGAATAGTCAGCATAGATTTACCAAAAGCAAATTGTGCGCTTGTCCAGCCTGGTTGCCTTTCCTGATGAAATGACTAGCTGCGTGGAAGAGAGGAGAGCAGTGGCTGCCCTATACCAACCAGTGCCACAGCACAGGTGCTGCCTTGAGCAGGAATGCCTCTTTGCTGGGTGAAAACACAGCTGACTCCGAAGGCATACCTGACCCATGCCATAACTCCCACAGATGTGCATCTGGGATCTGCTGTGGGACACATGGTGATTCCTCTTCTCCACCAGTTGCCCTGGGGAGTGGCTGCAAACGTATTTCTCACACGTCTTCTGTGGGCAGGAGAAGCTGT